GTCCCAGGCCGCTTGGTGCCAGGCTGGGCCGTGGGGTGTGTTGCCGTGCCGTGCCAGGGTAGCGGGGGGGGGGTTTACAAAGCAGTGTGAGGTGCAGCCCCCCGCGCTGCGCTGCAAGGCCTGTGCCCGGCCCGGCCCTGGTGCATGGCGCCGGGGGGGCTGGAGACGCGCCCTGCTCCCTGCAGGTGACGGGCGCTCGCTGGCTGTGTCTGGCCGTTCAGACCTGGCCAGGGAGCAGCCGGGAGCCTAGTTTAGAACAACCTGGCACAGATCTGTTTTGCTTTGGTACATTCTGTGTAAAAATCTCCTTCTCCCTGCGATAACTTCGGGGGCAGGGGGACCCCAGCAGACCTAATCTCTAATCAAGCTGCTCTCTTCCTGGCTCTTGGGTAGCCGGGGTCTCCTGGTGTGGAGGGGAGCAATATGTGCTAAGGGGTTTTCAATATCCTCTGATCCAGGGAAGCTTAAGAGTATACAAAACTTGAGATAGCTAGAGCCTGAAAGAATGTAACAGGCTTGGGGATAAGTAGAACCCTAGAAATCCATGGATGTCTGCTTTATATCGGCAGGTATCTGCAGATGTGGGTGCAGATATCTGAGGCTCATTTTTGCAGATTCAGTTGTAGATACAAAATTTTGTATCTGCACAGGGTTCCTAGAATAACTCCTCCTTGTGCCAAAATCAGGCTGCTGGCTTGAGGCAAATTTTGAATAAATCTGGATAAAATCTTTATAGCAAAGTCTGCACCCTGCCTTTTAAATTAAAAGGCAAAGAAAAAAGTAAAACAAGGCAAAATCTGTTTGAAGTTGCCCAGAGTTCAGGAGTGAGTGACTGTCTCTGGGAGACGGATGAGTGGACTGAGTCCAAGTGAGATGCATGCTAGATGCAGCGCATCACATGGATGTCGCCTGCATGATGTACATAGGCCCTTTGGGTTTGGGTTTTATTTTATAACATTTCTTTATCATTTCATTTTTATTAATTAAAATGGATAACACCTGAAATCTGAAGGTAGGGGTCGTCTCGCCGTGTGGCAGTAGCCTTCCACTCTCTGCAGCGGGTCAGCCTCTCAGCTTCCAGGACCTAGTTTTCTTCCTGTTCATTCTGCCACTTTGCAGAGGGAGCAGATGGAGCCATGGTGAAGTGCTGAGATGTGAGGGGAGCAAAGGGTGCACCCCATGACTACTGGCCCCTAGTATATAGAGCCCCCCCCCCAACCTGGCTCGCCCTCCCACACAGCTCTGTCTGGTTTCCCTGCAAAAATGTCCTGGGTCCTGAAAAATCCACCATTTGGATGAAAATCAGTAAAACCCGAATGCTGGATTTTTCCAAACCCAGGTATTTTGGAGGGAAATCAGCAAAGACACATTGCTGGGCTTTGGACACACCAGCACCATTTCGGGGTAGGACCTCTGCCATGTCTGCTGCAAGTCTGTGTGAGGGTGAGCGTCACTGGCATGCTTTTACGTACGGCTCAGGCATGCGTCACCTGGTAACCTGTGCTCTTCATTTCTCTTCCCCTGTAGGCCAGCATGGTGCATTCTTTGATCAAAGCATATTCCTTACTGGACCACATGAGGTAAGTGACATCACCTCTTTCCTGAAGGCTGTATGCTAATTGTCTGATCCTGCAGGTGCTGAGTATCCTCAGCTCTCCGGGTACTCAGTGCCCGGCAGCGCTTTGCAGGACTGGGCCCTGCATTCTGTGCATTCATAAAACCCGTCCACTGACTTCTTGTGTTGGTGATTTATATGGTGAAACTCATGAGGGGTCAGAGTAGGGGGTTAATCAGACTGAGGGGGATGCATTCAGGAGTTTGCAGTTTTCCTTGACCTCTAAATTGTGCTTTGTGACAGTAAAGGGTGCATGCGTGTAACGCATTGGTTTGCTAAGCTGGGTGTCCTTGCTTTGCTGTGGTCCTGCCCCTAAAGGTGCTAACTGGAAAGCAGAACTCTCAGGTAGGAACTAAGGGTTCAAGAAGGCTGACACCAGTTCTGGAGCCAGGGGGCCAGATGTGGGATGTGAAAGGTTAAAAGGCTGCGTTGTCCTGTTTATCTTACTACAGAGGTAGGCAATGATTCCCACTTTAGAAATTGTTCAAGTGCCTCGGGCTGCACAGGAAGGGGTGGGGCATCAAGTGGAAGAGGCAGGGCCAGGAGACTTCCAGGTTCCCCACTCCCAGACAATGGTTGGTCTGGGGGTGAGGGAGTGCTTTTGCCCCCTCCCCCCCCCATGGTTCCCGTGGGTGCCCATGCTCCTGGCATGGGAGGAGACTTCTCGCGCTCCCCTGCCCCTAGACCAATTAGGCCTGGGGGCGGGGGAGTGCACAAAGCCTCCTCTGCCCTTCCCCCGCCCTGCGAGCAGCGTGCAGCATTTAAAAGCACCACGTGCTCCGGGCAGGGCAAGGGAGGCTTCTTGTGCGTCTCGTTCTAAGGCCTGGGGCCAGGGCAGCGGCAGGGCCTCCGTGGGCCGAGTCTGGCCTGTGGAGGCCCGTTTGCCCACCCCTGTCTTGGTAGCACAAGTGAATTTCAGATCCAGACTGAGAAGCTTGCAGCCAAGGGGTTCCCGACACCTCCTGAGTCTGCCATGCTGATCTTGTTCCGTCGGTCTTGCTAGGCTAGTCAAGCCCAAGGTGGCGTCCCTGGAGGAAATGGCGAGCTTTCACACGGATGCCTATCTGCAACACCTGCAGAAGGTCAGCGAGGAGGGGGACGACGACCACCCGGAGTCCGTGGAGTACGGGCTGGGTAAGGGGCCTTTTGAGCGGAGACCCAGGGGAAGGCGGCTGTGTTCATTTTCAGCTTGCCCTTTTGTGCGTTTCTCACAGGGGGCTTTCACCAGAAGAAGCCTTCAAAGGTTTTCTCCTTTTCAGCCTTTTAACCAAAGGATGGTTCTGTTCTGGGGAGTGACTGTAAAAACGGGCTGCTCTTACTGCACCGCTCTGTGACATGCAGTGCAGACCTCTTCTCCAAATAGCGCCTGCAAGAGGCAGCATGTGTCCGACAGGGAGCTAGGTTCTAGCTGTCTCGTCCACCGTTAACACAATGCTAATTGAGTTTTGGTTTCAGGGTCGGTATTACAGGGGCTGGTGTGACGAGGAATTAACCCAGCATATCTTTCAGGTCACAGGGTAAATTGGAAGGCTGAAAGCTAGACACAATACAAGCGTTTACTTGGAAACTGAGTGCATTTGCTCTGGCGAGTCTCTACTGCCTGCAGCAGACATGCATTGGTTAGGGGTTGTGGTAGTGCTCTGGGAATGGCTGCATAGACAGCGTGTCGAGTGCCTGTCGAGGTGGGCTGGCAGGCACGGCTGCTGCCCCCCAGAGACAATAACCATGGGACCCCAAGGGACATCTTGGAACTGTATGTCGGTGGCCGGGCTGAATAAACAGTGACTTCTGGCCCTTGTCTAGGCTAGGGATGTCAATGTGTAGTCGACTACACGATTAACTGATGAGCCTGGGCTTATTGGTAATCCTGATGACTACACGCACTCCTCCCTTGCTGCCTTTGTATCAGGCAGCAAGGGTTGGGGGTGGGGAACTGGTGCCTGTGAGGAACTGGCTTTTAAGCTGGCTCCCCACAAGCACCAGATCCCACAGAGCTGCCTGCTCACCCACCCCCACTGCTGCTTCTATTAGAGAGGCAGCAGTGGGGGAGAGAAGGGAGCCAGGAGCCGTTACTTGGGGCTTTCAGGCGTCTCCACAAGTGTATCCGCTCCTGTGGAGCCGCCGCCCTATGGCTGTATCAGAGGCAGCAGCATGGGCGGGGCAGCCAGAGCTGTGAGTAGAGCCCAGTGCAGTCCCTAGTCCCCCAGGAATGCAGCCGTGTTCCCACTCAGTGACACTCCCTGGTTCTTGCCCTAGGTTACGACTGCCCTGCTACTGAAGGGGTCTTTGACTATGCAGCCGCTGTCGGAGGGGCCACCATCACTGCAGCCCAGTGTCTGATGGACGGCAAGTGCAAGGTAGCGATTAACTGGCCTGGAGGGTGGCACCATGCAAAGAAGTAAGAACACAGCCTGTTACCGCGCGCTTTCCACCCTGGTGTCTGAATGAGCCCGGAGCTCCTGGCTTTCCACGGCCCCGCAGGAGCCACAGAGGCCAATCCCAATGTATCGGGGGCCGCTCGGGTGGGCGGGCTGAAAGAGAAGAGGCAGCTGGGGAAGAAATGGGACATAGCACGGAGGAGCCCTCCCATGCTCTTTGCTGTGTGCCGTCGAGTGGTCGCTTAATTCTCTGCTAGTACCTCACGTGCTCCCAGGGCCGCTGCACTGCTCGGTGCTAGACAGACAGGCAAACTGCTGGTGTGCTGCCAAGCACTGAAGAAATAGGAAACTTGGATACAAATGAAGGCGTTAAGAAGAGGTGAGGTGGGCTGGGATTGGGGGTTGGGTCTTCATAGTCCTTCCTGCGCTCTGAAAGTACCTGTTAGCGCTGTACCCGAACAGCTGGGAGAGGGCAGTTCTCAGAGCAGCCCGAGAGGAGAGGGGGACTTTTCCTCTAAGGTGCCCTCGTTCCCAGAAGGTCACTGGACTACAGGGCTACGTCTACACTGGCCCCTAATTCCGGAAAAGTCATGCAAAGCAGGTAAGTCAGAATAGGAAAATGCGCGGGGGATTTAAATATCCCCCGCGGATTTAAATAAACATGGCCGCCGCTTTTTTTCCGGCTTGGGGAAAAGCCGGAAAAAAGCGTCTAGACTGGCGCGATCCTCCGGAATAAAGCCCTTTGCTGGAGGATCTCTTATTCCTACTTTCAAGAATTGGAATTAGGAATTAGGGGCCAGTGTAGACATAGCCCAGGTGTATGCAGCTAGCTGGGGCTTGTCCCCTTATTACGGGCTGAGTTTCAAGCGACAGCGGTGCTTTATCTTCTGAAGTGCAACGGCCGCCTGACAGTGAAAAAGTGACCCTCCTTCTAATCCAACCATAAGATTTTCCAGACCCTCCTTCTAATCCAACCATAAGATTTTTGGACCAGTAGTCTGTCGGGATGTAAGACTATAGAGTGGGGGCCCACTCTGGCTGGGTGGGGCCCGCCCCCGTCCCCATCCCCGTATGTCCCGCACTTAGCCATTCGCACTCCTGATAGCCTATTGTTTTGGAATCCTGCCTGCCATAGTAACCTAAAGCTGCAGTATTGGAAAATAAATCCTCCCAAAGTACCTCATCGATTGTGGAATGCTGTATTTAGGGCCTGAGTGCGATTCCTTCTTGCCCTTTGTGGCCCAGTATGGGGCCAGTCAAACTTACTGCAGCTGTGTTCCCGAGCAGTCTGGGAAGATGTAAGGAGAGTGCAGAACAGTTTCATTGTGCTCAGGTCGAATGAATGTTAACAGCTTCTTGTGCTGTGCTGTTTTTACTGGCCTGCCTAGGGTCTGCCAGATCAGTGATGCCTGGAACTAGGAGACAGCGTCTCTGATGTGCTGAGTCCTTCGTGCTGTTTTGGGAGGAAATGTTGCATGCTGAAAACGGCAGGTTTCGCTTACTGATTTTCAAATCTCTGCAGCCTTTGCCAAAGTACCACTAGGGAGAGCTCTCGATTAAGTCCAGTGGCGTTCCCCCACTTCAGCAAGCACGTGGAGTCTCTTAGCTGTGTATTGTGTCTCTAGTTGAAGGTTCTGTCGGTATTTCCATGACAAATATCTGTCCTCAGGAGTTAATAGCTTGTCCATAGCGTCTGGCACTAGCCGGAAACGTAGCCTGCCGTGAGACAGCTGAGACCATCTCTTTTCTCTGGTGCACCGAACAGAAACGTCAGTACAGGTAGTTGGGATTTTGAAATCAGTCTCCAGATGTCTCACTGAAAATGCCTTGGGGAGCTCTGAGGGCACTTCCCGTTCCCGGGACAGGCGCATTGACAAGGACGTAACAGTGTCTTTGGCATTAGCTTTGCTCAGAGAAAAGCGTTCACTCCCGCGAGCTTGGAGGTTGTCCCACAGGAGCCTCCGTCGGTCACTGATGTGTCAGATGATGCATCCTGAACGTGTCCAATAAAGCCAAAGAAAAATCACCTGGTTATAGATACTCTGTTACGCTTGTGAATCCGCTGGGTGTTTAACTTGCAGCTGAGGCTTTTCCCTGGCGGCCCTGTCACTCCTGCCCACAACGTGCATTTTAAACAGTAGCCTTGCTGTGTGCTCTTTGGGATCAGTATTAGAGGCACCCGATGTTTGTGTTCATCTGCAGAACCGTTACGGGGCTGTGCTAAACGCAGACAAAACCACTTCCTGTCTCCGCTGTCAAGTGAACTGCCTCAGCAAGAACACCCCTTTCCCCCGACCTGGATGCATTCAGCGCCTGCTGTTAGCGGTTCTATTCTTGGCCCACTGTTTCCTGAGGCTCTTTGGTTCTGCTTTGTAATAAACCTTCACTGATGTGTGACCTCGTCCGCTAGTGGATCTTTATCTTGGTGGCTCGGTTGCGTAGTTCATCCTGGAACCGCAACAGACAGGATTGAATAGAATAAATGCTTGGACTTAATGAGGACTCTTGTGCTGTTTGCACAGTGTAAGGCCCTGGTGAAGTGTCAGCCCAGAGTCACACCCTTAACAGCTGCTTCTGGTGTATTTATAGAGAGAGACCTCTCGGGCCTACCCCCACTGCGCTTCAATTTCCTAGTCGTGTGTGTTGTGTCCTGAAGCCTTCCTTTGCCTCTTGCCTAAGGCAGCGCCACATTCCCTCCCACCCACACTCCTGCAGCTCCAAACGCGGGAGAGCCCCAGACAGACCTTTCTAGGCAAGCGGGCCGCCGGTGTGGGCCACGTTTTCGTGATTGTGTATGTTACCCCTAGGGGAGTTCTGTGCCAAACATTAAAACTTCTACACACAATATCCTAAAAGTCTGCACGCCTTACTTATCCAAATAACACGATCGAAACATGCCAGTTCCAGGTCTTTTGGTAATTGATTTCAGAATACTTGTCAGCCACCTAACAAAGAGTCAGGAAATACTTCCCAGACGGGTTCCTTATTAAGGGCATTAATACAGAAGGGAGTCGGTCGTTTACACTCCAATACAGGAGTGCATCTCCCCCACCCTTCAGAAGCAGGGCAGATGCTTGGGAGAGTGGGGGTGACAGCAGCTGAGGAAGAGGGAATTAATTGCTGGGAAGGTGCCTCAGCCCCCACCAGTTACCAGTTAACCAGTAAATTTCTAGGGACACCAGCGCCGTGAGCACAACTACCCTGTCCCAGGAGCACGGCTCCGTTAGACAGTCTTGCGGCCTGCTGAGATGAAGGAGGGCCGCCCCTGCGGCTCGTGCTCCAGTCCAGGGTGGAAATCCCATGGGTTGGCCTTGAAAATGCATCGCCTGCCTGGGACAAATGTAGGCTGCTCGTTAACATGCTTGGGCAGCAGAGGAGGAGACCTTCCCTACAGTCACCCAGCAGCCGACACTTGGAGGCCTGTTCGGAACATGGTCTAAGTGGTAGTTCAGTGAATCCTACGGACACGCTGCAGGGCCTGGGCTTTGCTTGGTGGATCTAAGGGCTTGTCTTCATGGGCAAGTTCTTCTGGAAGAAGGCAAGGGCTTCGTGGCGGGGGTGGGAGGACAAGCAGT